TGGACGTTCTGTGTGGCAACAAAGTGAACTCTGTGGTACTCTAGGCGACGGGATCTACTCACCTCAAGCCCATGCCCAGATGCTTTATCAGGTTGCTTAGGGAGATGTCATTGGCATTAAAGGGTTTCCTCTTCTCTGAAAACTCATGAGCCAAGCAGATGCGCCAGCCAAAGGAAGGCACCTGGTAGCCCTCAGCTTTACCCTCGTAGGAAGCCATCAGCTGCCCAGAGTACTCCGGATTGCTGTAGCCCAACTCATTTTGGGGTCGATTGTCCTCAGGGATCTCGCAGTCAGTAACTTGCACATCCTCAGTGCCTCCAGTATCTTCAGGGCAATAAACCTGTGGATCCCCTTTGGCACAGCTGGTCTGCTCCGAGGCTGGGACTCCGGTTCCCATGTTCCCTGGATCCTGGGTCCCCACGACCTCGATGGCCCCAGGTCTCGAGCCTTCTGGTACAAAGTGTCTCACCAGCCAAGTCCAGATGCGGATGCCGATGGTTGTTAGGTGCCGTCCTGGAGGGCCGGGCGCTGGGGAAATCTGCGGTGGGCAGGTGTCTCTGTGGACCCCGGGAGCTGTTGCTGCAGCGGCGGCAGAGGCGACAGCAATAAAGCCGCCTCGGGCTCCCTCTCGGTCTTCTCTCTGGGTCCTGGGCGGGAAGGGTCGGGCCTCGTAGTCATTGGGCCGCGATGATGAGCTTGCCCGGCCAAAGGGCGACTACTGGGCCAGCGGAGAGGGGAGGAGCCCGGGGGGCCGCCCCGCAAGGCACCGCCCCCGGGACCGGCCTGGGAGCTCGCGGCGGCGTCAGCCGCGTCCCCGGGTCGCGGCACCAAATCCCCCAGGGCTGGGCGCCGGGTCCCGCCGGCCGGTGCCCAGGGCAGCGCCCGCGCCCAGGTGCCTGGCCGTGGGAAGGTGACCCAAGGCGGCGGGACGCGAGTCCCTTCCGGCCCGGCTGGCCCGGCGCTTCCGGCCGGAAGGGGCTCCGGCGGGGGCGGGGGTGGAAGGGAAGTCCCGCCTCTGCCGCGGCGCCGCCGAGCGCTGGGCCGGTCCCGAGGGGCGGACAGGTGAGGGCCTCGGTGCGCCGGGACCCTCGGCCTCCACCTGGCGAAATGCCCGGGCTGGGGACGCGGAGGGGCCGGTCTCCGTGGCCTTGGGCGGGGCCGTGGAGCCAGGAGGGAATGGGGGCAGAGGTCGGACTGAGGGTTCAGGGGGGTAGGGGGCTAATCCGGCACCGGGAAGGGCGGGAGCCTGGGACCCAGAACGACGCCCTCCCCTGGGCAGCGCGGAGCCAGCTGCCCCCACCCCGCACTCCCCCGCGCCCCCCCGCACCCACACCCTGGCGCGTCCCTCGGGCACCGGGTGCGGACCGCCGGTCTCTCTGGGCCTCACCCCCAGGCCCCACGCAGACCCCCGCCCTGCCCGGGTACTGACTTCTGACTCCCTTTGTTTTCTCCTAGGTCCGGCTCCGGGGCTGCCATGATTGAAGTGGTAGCAGAGCTGAGCCGAGGTCCTGTGTTTCTGGCGGGGGAGGCGCTGGAGTGTGTGGTGACTGTCACCAACCCCCTGCCCCCCACGGCCACTTCTGCATCCAGGTGGGAGTGCTGGTCCTAAAGAAGGTGGCCCTTCTGGGCGGGAGCCTGGTGTCTCTAGTGCTAAGCCAGAGCTTAGGTTGTCCTGTAGCTACACCTGTGCATTGTGTTGTCATTGTAGGAAGGGGCCGTTTGACAGATGTAGCCCACATCTGATGAACAACCCTCCACTCTCCTTTCCTCCCTCCCCCCCATTCCCCTTTGTACCCACAGTATACTTGTCTTAGTTTAACCATCTTCTTTTTCTTTTTATTGATTTATTGGGATGACGTTGGTTAATAAAAGCATATAGGTTTCAAGTGTAAAACTCTGTAACCCATCATCTGTGTATTGCATCGTGTGTTCACCACCCAAAGTCAAGTCTCCTTCCATCACCCTTCACCCCCTTTTACCCTCTCCTCCCTTCCTCTGCCCCCTTTCCCTCTGGTAAAAAATGGTTTCTCTGGGGGGTTCTGGATTTCCTGATCCTTAAGATAGCCACCTAACCATGTTGGTTTCTAGACATGTGGTAGGGAGTTTGGAAGAGCATTGATGAGGTCAGCAGATCCCCTCTGATGCTGTCTTTACTTCCTTCCACAGTGAGGCTCTGGCCTGGGCCAGTGCCCAAATCCACTGCCAGTTCCATGCCAGCGAGACTCGAGTAGCACTGCCTCCCCCAGACTCCAACCAGCCAGATGTTCAGCCTGAGAGCCAGACTGTCTTTCTCCCACACCGAGGTTAGAGATGAGACACTTGCCTTTGGTGGGAATGGAGTGTTGTCTCAGAAGGATGAAACCTGAATTGTTCCTGAGGGTCTTCATAGCCTCTGCAACCTGGGGATATGAGAGGATGTGGCTCTTGCTTTGGGGCTGTAAGATTGTTGCTCTCACACCAAGAAAGGAGGGGTAATTTACTGCAGGCTGCTGCTTGTTACCAGGGCTCATGGCCCCACTTGCTGTGCTAGCCTCTTCCAGTGCTGGATAATGGTGTCATCAAACTGCAGTCTTCATCTTTTCTAGGTGAGAGGGGTCAGTGTATCCTTTCCACCCCACCAAAAATCCTATTCTGTGACCTGAGGCTGGACCCCGGAGAGTCCAAATCATGTGAGTGACAGTCGCCCACCCTTCTAAGATTCCTGGAGGGAGGACTTCTCTGGCTGCCTCTGGCCACCCTGACTACTACTTCCCGACCAGACTCCTACAGCGAAGTGCTGCCCATAGAGGGACCACCCTCCTTTCGAGGTCAGTCAGTCAAGTATGTCTACAAACTGACCATTGGCTGCCAGCGTGTCAACTCACCCATCACTTTACTCAGGGTCCCCCTGAGGGTTCTTGTGCTGACCGGTAAGTAAGGGTTCCTGGAGGGAAGGGCTAAGGAAGAACCTCACCAAAGCAGAAATGATCCTTAGAGATCTTGTGAGAGGGGCTGGGGGAAGCTTCCTGGTCTCGGTGAAGGTGCAAGGGAGATGTGGGGCGAGGGTCCTGGAGACAGGTGGAGGTGTGCACCTCAGCCGTGGCTTCCCGTACCGGTAGCCCTCTCGGGTTGGAGTCTAAGACCCAACCTCTGCTCTTCCCTCTGTTCCCTCCTAGCACTACTTCTCTACTTAACCTCTCTCTAGGCCTTCAAGATGTCCGGTTTCCCCAGGATGAGGCTGTAGCCCCATCCAGTCCATTCTTGGAGGAGGATGAAGGTGGGAAGAAGGATTCGTGGCTAGCTGAGCTGGCTGGGGAGCGCCTCATGGCTGCCACGTCCTGCCGCAGTCTCCGTGAGAATCCTTTCAAAATTGTCCCGCTCTATCCTCTTGTCGTAGTATTCCTGTCTCAGAGGCAGTTTCTCCTAACTGCCACGTGCTTCTGAGGACCTGCTGATACCTCACCCCCAAGTGCAAAGAAAAGCCCCACCTTTGGCCCCCCGCTCCCAGCCCCAGACAGTCTTCAGTGTGGACTCCAGGTTTACAGTGTCCCGTTTTCCCCAGATCTGTACAACATCAGTGACGGCCGAGGGAAAGTCGGAACGTTTGGCATCTTTAAATCTATATACAGACTTGGCGAGGACGTGGTGGGGACCTTAAACTTAGGGGAAGGAACCGTAGCTTGTTTACAGGTGAGAAGGGAGAGGGGCGTTGGGGATGCTGGGCCTGAAGGGCTGGACGCGCAGAAGGGCCTGCGTGAAGGGGGGTGGTATGCAGAAGTGGGTCGGGGTCACTGGGAGTCTCTTTCTTTGGTAAGGCAGGTGGAGGTTGGGCTGCCTTCTCACTTAGGGTCAGCACTCCCCAGTGCCTGCTAGCACACACTTTTCTTGCTCCCAGTTTTCAGTAAGCTTACAGACTGAGGAGCGTGTACAGCCTGAGTACCAGCGGCGCCGAGGGGCAGGGGGTGCCCCCTCTGTGTCCCATGTGACTCACGCCCGACACCAGGAGTCCTGCCTACATACAACCAGAACCAGCTTCTCGCTCCCCATCCCTCTCAGCTCCACCCCAGGCTTCTGCACAGCCATTGGTAAGACTTTGACCGCTATTGGTGGGGGAGGGGTGTGGGGGCCGGGAGTCAAATATGGTGCTTAGGTAGAGTGTAATCAGTCCTGATTCCTAACACACTCACTGACCATGAACACTTTCTCAGATCTTCAACCTACTTCCTAGATGCACTGAGTCCGGAACTCGGAAGAGCTTTGTAGATCCCCTTTCCTGCCCCTTCCCACTGGGACCCTGTAATCCGCTGATCTTGGATTCCCCAGCACCTTTACTTCCCGCTGCCAAGTCTCAACTGTCCCTGCTTGGGTCATGTTCTTGATGCTGCCATTCTTCTTGTCACTTTTCTGGTTAACACACTAGATTTCTTCGGAGAAGCCCTTGATCCTACTCCCCTGTCCCGAGACTTCTCTGCCTCTTCCCAAATACAGGGTTTTGCTCATTTGCTTACCACATCCTGTCAGGCTTTAATTCTGGCTTCTAATGCCTCTGCCTATGTCTTTTCTTTCCACAGTGTCCCTGAAGTGGCGGTTGCATTTTGAATTTGTAACATCCCGAGAACCTGGTTTGGTGCTCCTGCCTCCTATGGAACAGCCCGAGCCTGTCACCTGGACAGGGCCTGAGCAAGTGCCTGTGGACACCTTCAGCTGGGACCTCCCCATCAAGGTGCTGCCTACAAGCCCGACCCTGGCCTCGTACGCAGCCCCAGGCCCCAGCACCAGCACCATCACCATCTGAAGCGGGCCCCCCACAGCACTGCTCCCTTCAGGACACTGAGGACTCGGCACCTGGGCCCTACTGGGGCCCAGTCTGCTTCCGCCTGGGGCCCGGTGGTGTGGACAATGAGAAGCAGGCTTTCAGTGATAGCATTAATTTATTTATTCAGAATAAATTGGCAGCTGCTAGTGGTTTCCCTGGAAGTGGCGGCAGCAGTGGCAGTCAGCAGAAGGGCGATCAGTTAGGTTTAGCTGGAGTGGGGAGCAGGAGCCCCAGGAACAGGGGTGTTAGCGGAGCCCCACTCTGGGTCAGGCCCTCCCCCTTTGCAGGGCAGCCGAGGGTCAGATTTTTGCACCAGGGAGAACTGGCAGGTTCCTGCCTCCTGTCGCACCTCACACTCAGCGGGGAAGTCGATGGGATGCTGGGACCTGGGGAACCAAAGGATGGGGAAGGAGTCAGCACGGTGAAGGGCTGTCGTTATCCCCCACACACATTCCCTCTTTCCCAGCCTTCCTCCCATATCTCTGTTAGTGCTCCCTTGGTCCCCCTGAGTAAATTCTCACCTACCAAGATGGATTTTCTTCATTTCACAGCAGGAATATTTTTTCTCTAGACCCACCCCTGCCACCCTCACTCTGTAGCCTGGGCCTTCTCCCTCACACTTGCTGGCACCTTCAGGTCTGGCCGGCCTTGCACTGCCATGCTGTTCTGTTCTAAGGCGGTGGCAGCCTAGTCCTGCCTGGGCCATCTCTCAGTCGCTCACATCCAAGCCATTCTCTCTGGGCCATTTTTGGTCACTCACGTGTCACAGCAGCCCACACCGACAGGATGCAGGCAGGTGCAGTGGAAGCAGTCCTTGCGGAGCCAAGACTCACCCAGGGTAAAATACTTCCCTTCATAGTGGCAGGGGGCTGGGGAAGAACAGGAAACGTTAATTTGCAGGGGAGTGATAGCAGCAGACAGAATCACCCTGGCGTAGGAGAGAGTTAAGTGCACACTGCCCCCATACTTGGTCTCTCCTGGTTCTGAGCCAGCGGGAGTCTGGGTATTCGGACATAGGATCATCTCTAAGGTGCCCTCCTCCCAGTGAATGCCCTTTGCTCCTTGCACTTTCTGAATGCCTCACCCAGCTTTACCTTGAGCTTGGAAGTAGCACTTGCTGTAGACTCCCGGGTGCTGGAGGAGCAGAGATATCACCAACCAGATGATCCCCCAGCCTCTCAGGATCCCCTTAGTCTGTCCAGCCCAGAGCATTCTTAGGGCCATTCCTGTCACACGGCCTTTGCAGACCCTTCTCAGCTTCTGTCCAGGCTACTCGGGTCTTGTCTCTTTGGCTTCTCTTTGTTCTGTCCTTGAGTGTAAGTTTCTGCCTTTTCCCCTGGGCTCCTGTCTCACACCATCTCCTGCCCTCTGCTCTCACAGGCTTGGAGATGCTTATAAAGTGAGGACCCTGGCCCCCTGCTGAGTAGAGCTGGAAAAGCTGTAACTCTGTTTCCTGGGGTGAGGGCATGAAAACAAGAGGTCCGACTTTAACAAGCTGTGAGAGCTGATTCATGCTCCTGCACAGCTAGGGGGAGGGAGGTGGGCATGGAAGGGGCACTGGACTGGGCACTTCCCCAGCAAGGAGGTGGGACAGGGGGAGGGCCCCAGGTGGTCCCCAGATCTCTGACCTGGAGAGGGGGAAGCATTCCACCTTCCCCACCCCCTCCGCACAACACCGCACACACTCTCTCCAGGGGTGGATATGCTGGGATCCTTGCCTGGACCGGAGGGAGGCATTTCCTGGGGATGGCTAATCCTGCGCCCCAGCCAAACCAAGGAGCTGCTGTCGGGTGCCACGGCCAGAGGCTCCAGGAGAGCGAACAGGCACCTGGAGTGGAGAACGTGTCCCTCAGACCCGAGGGCAGGGCCTCCCGGCAGTGCCTCAGACCCATGGCTGCTCCCTGGAGATGTGGGGTGGGATGTCTCTTCCACAGCCACCCAGAACGGGTTTGCCCAAAACATACAGCACATCCACAGTCTCCCTGTATCTGGGGATGGTTCTTTTAAAGAAGAACATCTCTAAGTGCTCTAGCGGTATGAGATACTCTGGTTTCCCAGAAGTACCCCCCTTTCCTGTACGCTGTGGAATGAAGATTTAGGAATTGATCCTTTGACATCCTTTTGGGTTTCCTGCAGGTTCTGGAGAACCCCAAGATGGGTGATTAAGAGCAGAGGTTGCAGAGTCAGACTACTTGGATTCAAATCCTTAAGAGCTGTGTGACTTTGGGCAAGTTACTTCATCTCTCAAAACCTGTTTCCTTACCTGTAAGTTGGGATAGTCATACTCGAAGGGTTAAGAGGATTAAATTAGATAATGCATGTCACCTGTCCCCAGCACAGAGCCCTGAAAAAGTACCAGGTGCTGTGGTTAGTGTTAGAGCTCAGAGAAGGGGTAGACATCCCGTGTGACGACACTGAGGTCCTGCTACCTCCTGGCACAGGCTTCTGCCCCTTTCACACTTAAGCTCCACGTCATCTCTGCCGCCTCCTTCGGAAACTACCTCCTGGAGCGTCTTGGTTTTGGTTCTTGTATCCTTGAAATTCTAAATGCTTGGTTTGAGAAAACTTGCTGATAAAAGTACTTCCCCTAAGCCAGTACCATGACCTCTACCCTGGGAAGAGGTTAGCATTTTCTTATCATCCTTCTGGCTTACTTGGGGACTCCTGCTTTTTCTCATGGATTTTGATCCCGTTCTTCCCATCCTCACTCATGCAAACTCTTCAGTTCTCCTTTCTGATGACTCTGATGCTGGCCACCTCTTTGGCACCAATGGACCCGGGCTAAACTGGGTTTTGTTTTGTTTGTGTTTTTCTTCATTTTTCCACACTCCAAGAGACCTCTGTTCCAGGTATTCCCCTCCTACCTACAAGGCCAATCACTTTGGCGTGCAGTTTATTTTCCTTCTAGGTCTCCAGTCCCATTTCCTCCAAGTCCTGGCCGGTGTGGCTCAGTTGGGTGGCACGAGGTCCTGTAGACCAAAAGGTGGCGGGTTCAGTTCCCGGTCAGGGCATGCGTGAGGCACCCCGGTTGTGGATTTGATCCTCAGTCAGGGCACATGTGAGAAGGCAGCCTTCTCGGTGTCTCTCTCGCACATCTCTCTCTCAAAAGCAATGAAAAAAAATACCCTTGGGTAAGGATTTTTTAAAAATCCATTTCCTCCAAGACTTCCGCTCCCTGTGGGATAGTAATACTCAAAGTAATAGTAATACTCCCGGTCACCTAGTTGATGGGACACAACCACCCTGAGAGTGCTGACTGGTGGTGCCACCCTGCCTCTCACCTCTTCGCGATTCTGACACAGCTCCTCAGTCCTCCTCAAACTCCCTGTCTTTTCTCTTCCAAGGGGACAGCTTAGGCGGAAGGAGCTGCAGACTCCCACACGCCACCCTACTGGGGTCTGATGCCCTTTCTACTTTAAGGAAGTGTCCAAAGGGAAAAAACCACGGCGGCGGCAGGGTGCCCGATGTCGGCTGGCATGGGGGAGGCAGGGACCTGCACTGCCCTCCTGGCTGGAGCAGGTGGTGAGAAGGCCTGTGTACCCCACGCGGGCCCAGAAGCCTTGTCGGCGGTCAGTAGCTCTGCAGCTGCATTTCTGCGGGAGGGACGCTCGCCGGCAACCTGGAAGCCTGGACCACAGACTGCCTTCTGCTCCTGCAGCCTGAAGCCTGGGCCCTAATGGGGAGCTGGAGAGCACGAGGGTGGTGGCGGTGATGCTGCAAGGCAAAGGGGGCCCAGGGGAGACTGGGGTTGGTGTGAGGTAATGGGGACAGAAGTGACAGCTGTCTGTAACAATGGTGAGGTGGGAGTAGGGGTCTCCTGGGAAGAAAGGCTGGGGCTGAGCCGAGCTCCCTCTCCCAGAAGTTGGGGAGCAGCATGGAGGTGGCTATCGCTTGAACCCACTTCCATGCCTGTCGGTGGGTGTGCGCGAATCTAGGCAGCTTTTGGGGGCTGGAGGCCCAGGTTCTGAGTGTGTTTGTGGTGGGGTGTCAGTGCCTAGAGCTCAACCCCACGATTTCTGAGGCCTCGGAGATGCCAGTTGCGGGGGCTGCAACCTTTGGCGCGGGGGCGGTTGGCGCGCGCCGCCCGCGCGGGGACAGAAAACATCCGCCGGAGGCCCGGCCGGGCAGCGCTCCAGCAGCAGCGCCGGGCAGGTGCGCGCGGCGAGGAAGTGAGCGCATTCCGGCCCCCAGCCGCCGACCCGCCCTCCCGTGAGTCACCGCTGACCCCCACCGCCGGGCCGGATAGGAAGGATTGGCTGCGGCCGCGGGGAGATTTGGAGGGCTGGAGCTCCCGGAGGGGTAGTCGGGCGGGCTGCGGGGAACACCGGGAGGGTGGTGGGAGCCCCTGAGAGAGTTAGGGGTGAAGGGACTGAGCGGCCCAGGTCCGGGTTCCGTCTCAGGTGGGAAAGATCTAGAGGCCGAACGCAGGGCTTGCGCCTTGAATGTAGGAGGCAGACGCGAGACCCTGGGAGAACATCGTGGGACTGGGAGAAGGCCCTCGCGTGGGGAGGGCAAGGGGCTCCGAGCAAACGGGGGTGCGAGCCCAGGAGGCCCAGGAAGGGGAGGGTGGGTTGCGGGGCTGCGGAGACAGCACCGCGAGGACGGGCGGCCCGCGGGACGGCCCCTGGCCGGTGCAGGCCTTGGCCAGCCGGAGCCCGTAGGTGCCAGGAGACTTGCCGGTCAGGCAGGCAAGTGGGGATGGCCAGCCCCTCGAGATAGGGTCAGTCCAGAGGCCTGTGCGCTGGGAGAGCAAAGAGTATGTTTAGGGAGCAGGGGAGTTAGGATTATTTGGGTACAGTTGTGGCGAGGTCATTAAAGGCTTTGAATAACGGTGAGAGGAATTCGGATTTGGTCTCCGAGCAGGAGGAGTAAGTGGCTCAAAGGCCAGGTTACCTGTGTCCAGCATTACTGCCTGCCACGCAGTCTTTGTCCAGAAAACGAGATGTTGGTTTGCTAATTTTTATAATTTAAAATTGCATGACCACATTTATCTAACAATTTAATTCTGTTGAATTTTTAAGAAGACAAACTGAAAAAATCCGATTCCATATTTGATTTAAAAGCCAAAGTGAGGCTATTGAGATGAGTTACATAGCGTCGTCTTTTCCTTCCTCTCGCCTCCATTTCCCCCTCACTGACTGGACGGGGCTCTGTGTCCTTGGGGTCTCCGCTGACTGTGTCAGCAGCCTGCACTTCCAGCTTCCCTCTTCCTCACGTGATGGTCTTTATTCATTTCCTTCTGTGCAGCCCTTTCACCTGCCCTATGTATCCTAAACCAAGTGACACGTCTTTCGGGATGGGGGCACTGGGCTCCAGTGTGCAAAGGCAAGTAATTCAGTTTCACCCTGCGTGTTAGGTTACTTACTATCTTCTGTGGGTTTGTATGTAGCTACAAAGTTTCTGTATTTACCCTGTGTCTCACAAAGAGAGAAAGCTAATGCTGCATTATTTATCCACATAATATCTAGTATTTCTACAACACAGCAATTTCTAAGTCTAATTTCTCTTCTAAAATCAACTCTAAAATGGTGTTTGGTATGTGTCTCAGAAACTCACTTTAATTCTATTGTGATTTTTATCATTTATGTCATCTTGGGCCAACAGCAATGACAAGGATTAGGATCTTTATAATTTAAGGATCTTTATTTTAAAGATCCTTAAACCCTGCACTTGCCTTTGGCCCCAAACAAGAAAATCTGGGTCAGTTAATTAAAAAAAAATGACTGCTTGGGGCCCCGCTGCTCTCTGCTGTGCTGCTGCAGCTCCAGCCCTGCCTGGTTCCCGGTGGCCTTTGCCTTCATTCCTCCTTCGCGCTGCTGGGCGTCTTCAGAGGAAAACTTCACACCGACTTCCTCCACCATAAATCCTCCCTGCCCTCAGCTCTGCACTTCTCTTTGCCAACATACACCACTGCTTCTTCACGGATTTTTTTTTAAAGCTCACAGCCCTTCCTGGCTCTTTTCCATCTCTAACACTCTCTTGTTGAAATCTTTTTTTTTTTCTCTCCTTTCTCTTTTGGGAAGACCTCAGATTTTAAAAAGGTTATGCTTTATTTATTCTGCACGATTCACTTCTGCCTTCTTTCCTCTTCTGTCCACTTCTGCGTATTCTGGACTGTTTGTGAATTCCATTATGCTTGCTTTCAGCAAAGCTTCAGCCTTCCCTTTGGGATTAAACAGCCTTCCTGTAAATATAGCAAAAGATGCTTATGTTTTCATTATTTTTCCTACAAGAAGAAACGTTTTCAAGTTCGCATCCACTGAGTGTCTTCTTCCCCCATTCTGCATCCAGAAGCATGATATGGCCATCGTTGTAAAGTCCATTGAGTGACCACTCAAGCTTGGTGGTGGACCAAGCACTGAAGAGTGAATTTCATAATCTTAGTGTCAGATTCCTGAATGCTCGCCAGCAGTAGTGTTATCACGTGCATGTGCATGAATGATCTCACGTACACACACACACAGACTAAAATGCACAGATCATACAACTGTAAGTCTATATGAATATGAATGAATGTGAATATGAATGAGTATGAATATGAATATGTGTTTACTGCATTACATTCAAATTAGGCCAAATACACTTTGGAGGAGAAGATAAGGTAGATTTGTAGCTCTGGTAGAAGTTGGTCATTCTGTATTCAGACCGGAGAAGGATGGAGGAGAGTCACTCCTCTGAAGACGAAGAGACTTCATGAAAGAGGTGGAGTCCCAGGAGCCGAGGGAGACGAGGCTGCGGCGAACGGCAGGTGGATGGGATGGAGGGGCCAGGGTTTCAAGACCACACAGTCGCTGGACCCGAACAGCCCCACATTGTCCGCGGCAGAGAATATAAAAGATTCCGTGGGTGTAGTCCTGATTTCAACTGTAGTCAAGTGTCCATTGAAAACCCACGTTGCAGCTTTCCTACCCTATCTCAGTGCCCCTGGAACAACTCTCACCAAACTTCTCTTTTCTGCTTACAAATCATTATTCCCGAGGGCCTTACCACTCACCACCAATAATTAACGCCCCCCCCCAATTTTGACTAAATTCCCTATCTGTTTATTTGCTTTTATTTTTCCTGCCTGCTCCACAATCTACTTATTGTAGTAGTGACTTTTAAAATTCTATTGATGAGACTCTCACTGTATCACATTTGTAAATTGCTCTTTTCTTAAAAATGGAGACCCAAAACTGCCTGCTATAGACAGGAGAAGGCATCTAGTTGCTCCAAAGCACGGCCAAGTGGGTGTTGCTGGACTGTCTCTGGAGTGTGATGGGCTGCTTCCGCTTGCAGTGGAGGTCGCTGATTCCCCTGTCCTGTAGCTTTAGTTATTAGAGTCGTTAAGCTGGTGTCTGTCTTGCTGTAACATCTCATATTTTCCCTTAGTTTTGCTCTTTGAAACAGTATGGAAGAGATCTACTTCTTTTTCAGTGTAACAGCTCTTTAAAGACTTGACAAGTGTTTGCCTTTTGTTAGCTTATTTGTCTAAGCTCTTTGTTTTCTCCAGCACCTTCCGACAGAACTTTCTGCAGTGATGGGAACGTTCTCTGCCACTTGGGGCTATTGAGCACTGGAAATATGGCTAGTGTGACTGAGAAACAGAATTCTAATTTTATTTAATTTTAATTAATTTAAATTTAAACACCCAGATGAGATGAGTGACTCTTGTGTTAGGCAGCTCTAAAAACTCTGGGACTTAGTACCTCAAGACGTGGCTGTCTTCCAGCTGTTCCCACAAACACACAGTCACCTCAAACACGGTAAAACCACGCACAACGGGGGCCCTCGGTCTCTTTGGAGGCCAGTCTTAGTTGTTGTTGAAACTGAGAAAAAACCCCAACCCAACCTCCAGGGTCCTGACAGTAATGTCCGCTTTTATTGAAGTTTTCTTAGAAGGGGTAGAAGATGAAGATTTTAGCTCCCATAACTCAAAACTTACAAAAAAATTCCTCATTCACTATCTTTCTCTCTTTCCCTAAGAGACAGAGTCCCTAAAGTCCATCTCTTTACAGTGGCTGCCCCCCCACCTTTCTCTTCTTTCTCACAAACAACTCTCCTCCTCTCTGAATACCACTTCTGCTCCCCGCCCCCCCCAGAGTTCCTAGGGTGCTCCTGTCTCTCCAACTCCCCTTCCCTGTCATTATCTCTGCTCAGGAAAACCAGGGACCTTTTTCTGGACCCATCTTTCTTGGGGGTGACTGCAGCTAGAAAGTCATAAATCACTCCCCCCCCACCCTTCCTCATACAATTCTTAACCTTCCTCTAGGAGTCCCCACATTTTCTCTTCTTCTTATTGCTGCAGAGTCTCTGGCACTCTTTGGCAGAAGTTTCTCTACCATCTTTTCATTCCAGATCTACGGCTGGCAAACCCTAAAGCTGCTTCTTCATCGTCTCTTTCTCTCCTTGTCTTTCCATTTTGTTTGTCTTTTCTTCCTGCTTGTATGTTTTTTTCAACAAGTTTACTGTCCCCTTGCCGGTCTTCTGCATACGAACAGGCTGCGTCTGCTGGGGGCGCAGGCTGCACCCCCCACGGGCGCCGCCCAGGGCCGCATCCTCTCTCGTGTGGCCTTTCTGCTCACCCTCGTTGTCCAGGCCCACCTCCCTTTGTTGTCGCTTTTCATCTCCGTATCCTCAACAACATTCACTATTTTTAAAGAAAATTACTTTGGGGGGGTCTCATTTTTTCCCCAGGGGATCTCTTGTAAGTCTCTGCGCTGTGACATAAGACTGTGTATGTAGCATTGGTTTCTGTGGATTGGGGGTGGGGTGTGAGGGGCGGAGTGACCTCTCAACCTCAGCACTCACTGCACTCAGGCTGTGGGCTGGGGAGTGTTTTGTTGGGTGGGGGGAGCTGTCCCGTGTGCTGTAGGATGTTTAGCAGCCTCCCTGGCCTCCACCCACTAGGTTTCAGTGGGACCTTTTCAGTTTTGACAAACCAGAATATCTCCAGGCACTGCCAGATGAGCCCTGGAGGGCAATGTTTTCCCGCGCTCACCCATTGTGGGAAACTACTGTTCTAGAATGTCACCTTTCTGCAATTGATACATGGTTATTATACTTTTCTCCCCAGTTATTGATTTGTTTGTTTAGCCTGGATTTTCAAAAGTGTGGTCTTTGTCTTACTTGGTAGGAGGTAGCCTCTTAAAATTGCAGGTTCCTGATTTCATCCTAGACCTACTGAATCAGAAATGCTGGAAGTGGAATCTGAAAATCAAATTTTTACAAGATGGTACCCCCAGCCCCTCCCCAAACAGGCAATTTTTATGCCCTGGGCTTGACCCTCCTGTGGCATAAGTGCTGCATTGCCCACATTTTTTCCCTGCCAGTCTTCCCGGTGCTCCAGCTTTGCTTCCGCTCTCGACTTCATGATGCCAACACAAATAGGGAGGCCTCAGGTTACCAGGACAACTGGAGCACAGGAAACCGTAAAGGCTCCGCGCTCCCACAAGGCATCACAGGCTGTGGCTCTGCCCGCCTGCTTTCTCCTCAGGGACACAGTCACACTTCCTACTGCCTGTTCTCAAACCACCCAGAGTGTCAGCTGCCTAGACTCAAGGCACGGACCCTGGTTGTGCAGACCTGGGAGTGGAATATGGAATTGGTGGGGTGAGGAATGGTAAATGAAGCTTTCTTACACCAATATTCCATGTTACCTCTGAGGTAACTGAATTTTGTACTGGTGAGAATTATATTCCCCTGAGAGTTCAAAAGATTATGAGCGTCATTTATCTGGCTTCCTTGGATCTTGAGTCTCTTTGGATGCCAGGTTAGAATTTGTTACAGTTTGCTTTGAATCAAAAGAGTTAGCAATCTACTTCTGATTCACTGGGAGTAGCTCATATTCAGCAAGAAAAGAATAACTAACATAATGAATTTGGGTTCTATGTACATTTTATTGCAAAGCTAGACATTTATCTTAAGATCATCTGGTCTGATGAAGTCTTTAAAGCCACGAATAAAGGAAAGCCTACTTGCACTTAGATGCTTAGGAAATGTTGGATCGCTGCAAACCCAGAGCAGGCCGCCTCCCGGGGACGTTCGTGGCAAGTCGGAGCAAGAGAGAATGAAGGGTGATAAGGCAGACTGGTCACTTTTTCCAAGCAGCTGAAGGAAAAACTGTCCTGTGGAAGAGTGGTTAGATTTTCTCGGTCTAGTTCCAGAGGTGGAATACGGGCCTTTTTTTTCAGATGACAGTGGTCCGGGACAGATTTTGGCTTGATAAGGAGGAACGTTTGAATAGTTAGAGGACCTCAAATTGGAATGAGTTGAATTGTTGGGCAGTGAGTTATTTGTGACTGAGTCGTTTATACAGAGGCTAGATTACCATTTGTACAAGGTTTGGATGATGTTTTGGACATTAACTTGGGCTTGGCCTATAAGAAGCAGGCAAATTTATTGGAAGTCAAGTCATCCTTTCTATTATATGATTTTGTGGCAACTATTAGAGTCATTGCTATTTTCCTAGGCACCTCTGCCCGTTTTACCCCCTTGAGTCATTGAATATTAGAGCTGGTAGCAGAGTCTTTAGAAATTTCTCAAATGTTCCCTAGTCCTCTGGAGATTCCCCAAGAATGCCCAGTGGCTACGAGGTGAAATTAAGGATAGCTGGTGTTCCGAGCCCATTAGCCATGCTTCATCCAGAACAATCTTGCTTTTTAAAAATGTTTTTCAGGAAAAAAAAGGTATTCTTCTGAAAAATAATCTTTGAGACCCCGATATTCCAAGTTCTTCATTTTAATCGACATGCAAACTGAGATGTGGGGCAGGGACGTGCCTTGCCTAAAGGTCACATAGCTAATTAATTTCAGAGTTGGAATTCAGATCAAGCTCTTCTGGTTCCAATCATTTGCTTTCCAGTCTACTAGTCTACCTCCTTATCATTCAGTAAAAGTTTCTCTCCATTCCCCTGGCCATGACTGCAGTCCAGAGTTTACTGCAGTCCAGAGTTTATTTCTTCAGCCCTCCGATTCCCTGTTGCTGCGGAACTGGTCCCCCTGCTGTCCAGGCTCTCCTTCTGGTGTGTATTACGTACACTGTTGCCACGTTACTCTCCAGCAACATTGTCTTCATTGTGAGCCTCTCTACTCAAGAACCTTGCCAGTATTGCCTAAAAGAACTTTTCAGCCTGACACATTGTTAACATTCTTTAGGATCTTCATTGTTCAGCTGAACTTGAGTCCAGATCATCCTATTATTGGTAATTAACGGGCTATATAATAATGAGATTCACTGAGTCCCACTCTACCCCTAGACTTCGACTATGGAAGGATTTTTTGTGTGTACAGTTTTAATCAGGGATGATGAGAAGATACAAAAATAGAAGATCACATCTTATGAACAGAAGTTGCATAGCAATATGTTTAATACAATCCTATTTGTAGTACACATACATGCATTTTTTAAAAAAGAATGAGATGTATAGAAATTGTCTGGAAGAAAACACAACAAACAGGTAACAGATATTCACTCCGATGAGGGAGATTGAGAAAGGAAAGAGGAGAGGGGAGGAAGGAGGGGACTTAAAATATTTATTTCTCCACTTAGCAGAGCCTCAGAGGATGGAAAGGAAACCTAAGGAACCAGGATTGGAGCTGACAGAGAAGGAACTGCTCGACTGTCTTGTCTGGCTCCACAGCAAACCATTTCTTTGCCTCTCCAATCACTCAGCTGGAGAAGTCAAGTCCCAGGAGATCATTTGATTGGCCGAGCTTGAGTCAAGTGCCGTAGATGGCTGTCTGGATATGGGAAGAAAGGATCTGGGGGAAGGAGTCCCAAAGGAAAAGCCTTGGTTTCTGTCAAAAGAGGGCGAGCATTTGAGTTTACCCTCCCAACAGGTTGTACCCAGAGTGGGAGAGATAGTCGCCTGAACGAGGACATCAGAGTGCTCTTAGAAGGAGGCGTGGATGCTGGAAACTACAAATGGCAACTGTCCATTGAATTCATTGCCTGTGCCCCTACTTCTTATCTATAGCTTCGTTCTAGGCCTTCCTTTCCTTGTGGCCCAACCCAAGGTCTCTAGTATGACTTTACCACTCACTGGGGGTGGGGGTGGGGAGTGTAAGGTAGGGCAGGCAGGTAGGGGGCAGGCAGCAGGTTTTACTTTGCTTCCTCCCTGTCCTGTGCTTACACAGAAAGCCTGATGGTTTTAAAATTGATCATAACAAACATTTTCTAAGTTGAGTTTCACAAATCAAATCCTGATAGAAACACCTGGCTGTTCTAACTACCTGTTCCTTGATGGCGGCACCGTTCTTCCCCTGCGCCCCAGAGAGCGTGGCCAGGTACACCTCCGCCCTCGTGTGTCTGTGTGTGTGCATTCACGGGTGCCTGCCGGCATCCATGCCGGGTGATTGTCCTCTTTGGAAGGTCCAGGCTCCAATCAGAGTGTGTAGTAGAAGTGTTCTGTTTTCTCACAGTGGGAGTGTTTCACTTTTGAAGTATTCACTTTCTGAAAAAATTAGCTTTCTTCAACTCTGTGGGGTCAGTGGACACAGCCCTTCCCCCTCCCATGACTGAGGGCCGATCAGGGGGCCCCTGGCCAGAAGGAATGCATTGTTTTGGAAATGGATTGTCATTCCCTCCTTATCCCCTTTTGGGAGTGGCTTCCTGTCCTGCCACTGCTTCTGGACCCCTTCCTTCTGCAAAGACACACTGAGACAATCAATGTAGGGTCATGCAACCTGGGCCGGTGCTGCCTTCATCTGGGACCCCTTATCGTGAGCCTCACACTGGAGGAGGAGCGGTCCCTCTCGCACCAACCCGCCACTGTGGGTGCGCTCCCGTGTAACGTGAGTATAAGCGGCCTGTCCACATCGGCTAGTCCTCCGGGTGGTTTTTTCAGAATATCACGAACATGCAAGCAGCTCCCCGGTTAGGAGCAGCTGTGTTACAAGCTCATTATAGCTTAGGCCTGATTTTTAAACAATTAATTGGGTTGATTGCGAGAGAGTGTGCTAATTCACTCTGTAACTTCTGTGAATAAACAAATTCCCTACTCTGCATTCCCACCGGACAGAGAACCCATTCCTCTGGTATGTGTCCGCAGGTCGGTGGTTCGAGGAGGATCCTGTTTGGAGATGGACTGCTGAACCTCTGTGATGATTTGCTGGCCAGCCACCACTCATAACAAAAAGGACTTAAATTACTCCTTAATTCTTGCAAAATAATTATCTTTGAAATATAATTTACCTGCAAGACAATGCAATGCACCCATTTCAAGTGTACAATTCAGTGAGTTTCAGCAGATGTTTAGATCCGAGTGACCATCTTCCCAGTCAATGTGTAGAAGTACGTTTCTGTCACCCCTAAACTCCCCGCTGTCCTTTGCAATCAGCCTCCCCACACCCACCCCAGACGTTCACTGGTCAGATCTCTATCACCGTAGATTAGTTTTGTCCATTACAGAGCCTCACAGAAATGGGATCATAGAGTGTGGATTCAGTGTTTGGCTTCTTTCATTCAGCATATTTTTTATACTCATCCATGTTTTTGTGTATATCAATAATTCATCCCTTTTTATTGTTGAATAGTTTTCCGTTGTTGGTTATACCACAATCAGTTTATCCATTCATCCGCTGATGGAAATTTAGATTGTCTTCCATTTTCTAGAATCTGCTGTGAACTTTCACACACATTTTTTTTGTGGATGTTTGTTTGCATTTTTCTTGGATAAATACATAGGAGTGAACTCTCAGGATTGATGGTAAGTGAATGTTTCATTCAAAAAAGAACAGAACTGCCGACCCATTTTCTCGAGCGGCTGTGTGAGTCCGTGCCTCTGCAGCACTGCACGCCAGCCCCTTCCAGCTCCCTACGTCCTCCTCGCACCCGGGACTGCCAGGGCTTTCGTCGTCCTGCTCAGTGTGTGTCGGGGTCTCACTGTGGTTTTAACTTGCATTTCCTCAGTGAGTGAGGAACGTGTGTTCATGTGCTTACTTCCAGCAGTGTTTCATGTTTGGTTGAGTCTGTTTAACCATTTGTCCATTTAAAAAATGGGAATGTTTGGCTTCTTGTTATTGCATTGTAAGAATTCTTTATATATTCTGGATACAGTCCTTTGTGTGTATATCAATTAAAAATATTTCTGCCCAGTCTATGGCTTGGCCTTTTATTTTAAATGATTTTTTAAAATCAACATTTCAGTCTTAATGTGGCTTCTTGTGTATCGACTTTTTATTTTCTTTATGGTGTCTTTTGAAGAGCAGAAGTCTTAAATTTTTGTGAAATCTATTTTTTCCCTTTTTTTCTTGTATGGTTAGTGCTTTTTGTGTTCTACATAAGAAATCTTTGCTTACACCAAAGTGACAAAGATTTTCTGTGTTTTCTTCTAAATCTAGAAGTTTTAGCTTTTATGTTTAGGTCTTTTTTTTTAAAGTTTTTGTTTATTTATTTAGAGGGGAAGAGAAGAAAGAGAAGAAGAGAAACATCAATGTGTGGCTGCCCCTCATGTGTCCCCAACTGGGGACCTTGCCTGCAACCCAGGCATGTGCCCTGACCGGGAACCGAACCAGCAACCCCTTGGTGTGCAGGCCCTTGCTCAATCCACTGAGCCATACCAGTCAGGGCTATGTGTAGGTCTTTTTATGTTTATGAGTATAATTCATTTTGATCACTTAACTTTGTCCTCAATGCACAACAGATTCAATAGAAAAAGAGTCTGAAATAAAGAATACCTCTCTCAAAAACAGACATCGTACAGTAGAAATAACTTTTTCAGTGTATTGTCTTCATCTACTATTCATTAAGCATTAACTATTCATTAGTAAAATACATATCAGTCACCTATTGAATCTGGTGCTGGAGACACAGTGATGGAAATACTAGACAGTGTCCTTGCTCCTTGGAGTGCACATCTTATGGGGGAGGTGGTGTTTTAGTGAACACCCCATCCTCTGTCTGGCAAAGTTAAGAAAATGTTATTGCCTTGATCTGTGATTCCTAAGTTGAAGGAGGAATTTCAGTTCTTTGGCAATCTACTTAATCTTCCTGTATGACAGAGCAGGAAGAACCTTTTCCCACAAAGGTCACTGATCTGCTGAGAAAAGGGAAGCGTAGGCTGCGCACAGCTAGCTGCACTGCCATGTGGGGAGTGTCACCGCAGCGCAGGGTGGGAATCAGGGAGTTCCTGCTCTGCCTCTGTGGCCCTGCGGTGACCAGACCGCATGCTCTCTCCCGTGGCCGAGCAAACCAGTCTGCTTTTGTCCCGGTGCCATTTTTTGATATCCTTTTGCCAAAAGATATCATGACAAGTATCTTGAGAAACCCAACTCTCTTTTCTGGTATCTTCTATAAGTAGCCATTCATCCATTCCTTAAAACCAGTCGTACTTTGTGTTAATGGTACCACTATTCCTGAAGCCACATCAAGTATCAGTTGTAAGTGCTGTTTACTATGAATATTTATAAGCTAGCACTAATATTCAATAAACAGATGAATGCTGTCAGTTCAGAGCAGGGTAAGACACTAGAGCCTATGTTGGCCTTTATAAAAGAAATAAAGCTTGAACTAATTCCGAAAGATGAGTAGGATTTTGGCTGAACCAAAGAGGGCAGATTAATTTGGATCGATAGATCTGAGGAAGAAAAGAAAGGATTATTCATGGCGTGGCCCCCCTATCGTCTTGCCCCAGCAGGTAATATATTAATTGATCACAGCACTCACTCTTGCTGGGTGTGGCACAGTCTGGCAAGACTGCAAGGAGATAATAAGAAAAGAAATGGAGACATTGGGGGGGGGGATTTGAAAGAGGCTCAGCGAGACTTCTCGAAAATGACCCTGGAGGTCAAGATGCGGGGCAGTTGCCCCCCGCAGCAGGGAAGCCTGGGCGCAGAGGCTGTGTGCAGGGTTCCCGTCGCATCTGCGCTCAGCACGCAGACGTCGCAGGGGTGTGCCGGGCATCACAGCCAGACTCAGGAAAATAATGCCAGGGGAAGAGAGTGCAAGGTACTCTGCCAGAGGGCACCACTCAGGCTATTTTTAGGCAGAGAGGGATCCTAGAGTTAAAGCAGCTACAGAGTTGGGCCATGATTGCCAGCAGAGTAAGCAGCAAACGGAGCAAAGAAGCACTGGCCTGGAGATGTAGGAATCCAGAGAACCACTTGCTCAGGTCCCACCTTTTCCTGCTGCTACAGAGTCAGTCCCCTTCCCTTTGTACACGCAGATTCATCTCAGGTAGAGAAGCAGGGCAGAAGTGGCTATCTGCGAGACCAAGCAATTTTTTTTACTGTCTTTTATCATTTCATTTTTTAATTTAAATCTTTATTGTATTTTTTCCATTACCATTTAGTCCCCTTATCCACTCCCCCTGCCAGCAGTCACCACACTGTTCCCTGTGTCCATAAGTCCTTTTTCTTTTTCGCTCAGTCCCTCCACCCTCTCATCTCCCTGTCCCTTCCCCCGCCCCCCACCACCCCCCAACTAGCTGTCCTCTGCTCTCCATCTGTGAGTCTGTCTCTGTTTTGGAGACCAAGCAATTTTTATTCAAGTCTGAGCAGCGTCTGAAAGACTCTGTGTGTGTGTGTGTGTGTGTGTGTGTGTGTGTGTGTGTGTGTGTGTGTAATCTTTACTGATTCTAGAGAGAGGGGAAAGGAGGGAGAGAGGGAGGGAGAGAAACATGGTTCGGTTGCCTCTCATACTCACCCTGACTGGGGACTGAGTCTGCATGCCAGGCATGCACCCGCACTGGGAATTGAACCTGAGACCCTTCAATTTGCAGGATGACACACAAACAACTGAGCCACACCGGCCAGGGCAAAGACTGCTTAACTGATTGGGTCAGACTGCGTTAAACTGGTTTGGGGACTTCTGAAAGATGTGGCATCACCAATGGGGAAGATGGGGAAGAACTGAGTGGAGGGTACCAGTCAGCTCATACCACCTTTGACAAGCAAGCCAGGACTGAAAGTGGAGTGATGTAGGCCTGTGTACCTGTGTCCAAAAGTAGCTGATTGGGTCATCTGAGTAAGCTGGGATAGATGCCAGAGGCATGTGGCCTCGCTGCCAGGTAGCTCAGTGCACTCAGCAGCAGGGGACTGCCTAGCCACATGGACCTGCCTCAGCACCACCAGTGTCCCGGCATGGCTGCCACCATTGCCAAGGAAGAACCGTGTGGTTGAAACGTATCCACCACACCTGACCCTCTCAAACCTGTGAGGTCAGATTCTTATGGTCTGCTCTTGCTCTCAGTAGTCACCTTTTATCTCTCCTAACTCCTGTACTTTTTCAGTAATAGTCTGCGGAGCTTTCTGCCATATGCTTTTTTTTTCCTTCCAGGATTAGTCAGAAATTAGCCAAAAATTGCTGTCTTCCTCTTCCTATTCCAAAAGTCTGTAACCTTTATGTTCTGGGTACTGGGTACAAGGGATGCCTATAGCGCTTAGCTTATTTCAGGACACATGATTACCATACCCTGAGTATAAATAATAAATTCGCAAGCCTAGCGGTGTCTTGCCATTCCTGTATGGGAGAAGCTTAAGGGTGGAAATCTGATTGGAAGTGGAGGGAAGCAGTTGAAGATTTGTCTTAAATCTGAGTCCACAGACTAATGTGATTTGCTGATTAGGACTGACCACCAGAAAAATTAAAAAGCTGTGATTGATATAAATGTGTAGCCCTGGCTGGCATAGCTCAGTGTCTTGAGCACGGGCCTATGGACCAAAGGGTTGCTGGTTCAATTCCCAGTCAGGGCACATGCCTGGGTTACAGGCCAGGTCCCCAGTGGGGAGCATGTGAGAGGCAACCTCACATTGATGTTTCCCTCTCTCCCTCCCTTCCCTTCTCTCTAAAAATAGATAAATAAAAATATTTAAAAATATATAAATGTGTACTTAGTTTATATAAGTGAGTTTTGTAAATGTATATAAAATGTAGGACTTTTAAAAAAATCTTCTGTTAGCTAATTATGGTATTTCATTTTCTTAGGTTCTTCCATCACCAAATAAGGGGTGACACAGGGATGATACCCTTAACCTGACCATTTTCTATTTTTTTTGAAGATTTTATTTATATATATTTTAGAGAGAGGAAGGGAAGGGGAATGAGAGGGAGAGAAACATCAATGTGTGGTTGTGTCTCATGCACCCCCTACTGGGGACCTGGCCCACAACCCAGGCATGTGCCCTGACTGGGAATCAAACCAGCAACCCTTTGGTTCACAGGCTGGCACTCAAAGCACTGAGCAACACCAGCTGGGCTAACCTGACCATTTTAAACACATGCTTTGATGACTTTTTTCTATTTATGTGTTTTTATTTGGTTTACTTTATGGGGAGTGGGAAGGAGTTCACTGCCATTGATCCCAACAAGTCTTCCTCCCTCCTCCGAGCAATCTTTCCTCTCGTGAGCTGTACTGTAAAGGTCTACTCACTGCCGTTGTGCAATATCAAATACCTTCTGTGTGCAGCAACGACAGCACTCATGTCCACACCCAGCGAAACAAGGTCATGTTCCTGGGATGGTGTCCGTGAGGTGAGAGGTGATGCTGTGACTGTGGATGAACTCAGCGAGGAAGTGAGTATGGGGAGAACAATGCAGACAGGTGAAAATTGCAGCATGGGGGTGGGAAGCCTACAGTTCAGAGGAGGAAGAGGGTCTGGGCTAGAGTGAGAGATCACTGGACAACGAGACGGAAGGATGACTAGGAGAATGAGCTGTGGCAGAAGCCATGGTAAGAGCTTTAAGAAGAAGATGATAGTACTTGAACAACAATAAAAATAAAAAATAAAATAAAATAAATCCATTTAATAATCCACACACACACAAACACACACAAAAGGAGGTGATGGTCAACAGTTCCAATGTGACTGAGGTATAATGGAGGACCTTACTGTCATCTGTAAACTAGGAACTCTGCTGTGTTCTTGCTTGTCTAGATTGTTTATAAAAATTTCACACTAAATTATTTAATTATTTTTGAAAAGATTTTATTTATTTTTAGAGGGGAAGGGAGGGAGGAAGAGAGGGAGGGAAACATCAATGTGTGGTTGCCTCTTGTGTGCCCCCCACTGGGGACCCAGCCTACACTCCTAGGCATGTGCCCTGACTGGGAATCGAACCAGCGACCGCTTGGTTCTCAGGTCAGCACTCAACCACT